CCCCCCCTCCCTCCGGTGTATTTGCTCACTGCCTTATAAGCTTCTGGTGCTCGGGCGATAGAAACTGCGAGCGGCTCCTCTTGGCACCTGCATCGGCTTGTCCCTGGTTTCCAGGCGGTACTGGAATCGGTCTTTTCATCACCGGAAAAATCGAACTCAGTGGAACGCGAACCCCAAAATGGGACTGCACCCCGCCTGCTCTCGTACCGCCTGCTCTATTGTTAGTATCTCAGCGCTGGACGAGAGGGAGTCCAACGCGAGCGCAATGAAGCTGTTCTCTTAAGGCGAAGGAGTACGAACAACTGAGGCGTCTCTGGCTGTCATCAGACGGCTCGTTCACCGGCTGTGGTTGGACCTCACACACAAAATCGAAACGCTAGTCTAAGAATTCAGTTCTGTTTACACAACGGCGAGAGCCATTGCTGCTCGAAGGGGTGGATTACACGACTCAGAGACTGGATGTGTTTTTGACCTCCATTCGTAGGCCGTGACGTTTAAGTGTTCTCGGTGGATGGTGCGATGCTGCAGGCCGGGCCGGGCCGAGCCGAGCCGGAACGTTCAGCACCTGCAAAATTTGTGCACGAATTCAGTCAAGCACAACCTGTCGAACACAGGCCGTAAAAAGTGTTTTAATTTCGACAGCGCTCGCGCCAGATAATTCTTGCGGCTCAAATCAAATTCGGATCTTTGGGGTCGTTGAAAGAAAATCCATAAAGGATGATCGCGTCTCGTTGTCCACTTGCTGGTTCCTGTTGGAGCTTCACCAAGGCGTTGGCAATGTTAGAGGTGCTCGGCACACAGCCGGGCCAGTGGGCTCGGAACTTGTTCTTCCAGGGTGTGGTTGAGGACAGCATGGCTGAGAGTCTCCGGGATCGTGTGAAGGGAGGTGATGACGAGCAGAACGCCGGGCAAACTGACCCGCAAATTCTTGGGTGGTTTGAAAGACAGATTATGTCCGCTCAAAGCATATGCTGTGGAGCCCCAGTGACGCGCGGAATTGTGGAGGAACGGGAACAAATGAGTATGCCGAACTTTTCGGCGGTTGGCGAATGGCTTCTTCCTCGGGTGTTGTCGGGTTCTAACAACTCGGAACAAACTAGTGCAGTGGTTACCCGTTTGAGAGAAGCCTTCAACATAAGTCTTTTGCCTCTGCCTTGGTTTGCCCGTCAACTTCCGTGCTCTGATATGTGGGCTAACACGTTTCCAGACGGTTTCAGTCTGAGGACCCCCTTGGCCGTGGCCCATTGGGCCTACCATTTGAATACGAGTATATCGCCACAAGAGAAACTGCGGTCTCTCGCCGTATTGGCCCGTTGGACTCCGGGCCCCGCGTTTACCCAGGCATTTGTGCTCCTGATGAAACAATCGCCGATGCTTCCCACTGGCAGCACCTTGGACGACCTTCGCCTCACTTCATTGGGTGAACTGTGCCAGGTAATGGCCCGTTGGTTGGTTACCTTCGCGCCTGACGGTTATGTACCGGATGTCTTGACTAAGATGATGACAAGAGACTTGCGGCAAGTCGTGTGCTTGCTTACCACGGTGCAGGCAACATCAGTCAACGAAGCGAGGGACACGTATGAGCAGCGTCTAAAAACGTGGATTGGACGAGTGGTCTTTAGAGAAGCTAAGGCCCGGCACGACGACTACTTCGCCACATATCGCAGGCTCCGAGACCGCGTCATCTCCGCTTATTTCTCAGGACTAGTGTCATGGGAAGTGCCTGCATTTGGGGAAGCTACCTTCCCCGTGGGCAGGGATGGCATCTTTGAAGATGGCATCTTTGAAGTTGACCGAGCTGAACAACAGTGTTCGCTGGTGGAGGAACAGCTCGTGCGCCGTTTGACGCAACATCTCATCAACGTGCATGCTATGAATAGCAAGCAAGAACCAGAGGTCGTCCTTTATTCTTTCCGGCAACCGGACTTCAAATTCTCAGCTTCCGAAGCTGCATTCCACCAGCTGTACCAAGTCGCATTAGAGGAAACTGTGGACCCAGTGGCACTGCAAGAAGCGCATGAATACGCCTGGAAGGTCGCCTGTGCCGCAATCGCCCTCATATACGACGTGTCTGCGGTCATCAATACACCCCAACTTCCTCCGGAGGTGGAACCTGAGAAGTTACCCTTCTATCTCGACGCATTGATCCCGTGGGTGAGCCCTGTGGAACGCCCGGCCATACAGTCCGCTGTTCACAATTTAATCCAGCAATGGTTCACATTCTTTGTTGCAAGAACTTCTTTAACCTTTTAGTCCGTCATTAGACCCGAACCTTGACCTAGCACTTTTGACCTCAACGGCGTTGGGACAACGTCGGAGACGACACCCGGAAGATTGGGATGCTGTGTTCCGAGTAAAGGGTGCGAAGGGAAGAAAACGCGTGTGGACCTACTCCTCGACCACCTACTCGTCGAAGCCTGGCTGCTAGCGCGAGGTCGGCGGCGGAACGCACCGGTGTCAGAAAGCGACTCCCTCCGTACCAGGCACCAATGCCGTTGATGTTCAACAGAACAAAGATTGGTTCACACCAGAAGTTGGTTCACACCAGAAGTTGGTTCACACCAGAAGTTGGTTCAGAACAGAGATTGGTTCATTAAGGCCTGAACCAACCGGCCGGCCAGTCGGCTCAGGCAAGGCCGAGTGTCTGAGGCAAGTCCCGGTGGCAACTTCCGGCGCGTGCAGTTCGTTCTGTAGTTGGTTTTGTAGTTGGTTCTTCAAAGAGTGCAGATCGAACCCTTTTGCATGCGCTACTGAATGAGTGATGGAGGCCGGGAAGACACTTTGGCTTTATTCGACGCTGATGAGGAACCACGGTTCGGAAAGCCGGAAGACTTTGAGGATATCCTATTAGCACTTTGGATCCAGCTCGGCCACAAATACTACCTACCGCAAACCAATTCGAAAGTCCAGCTATGTTTCCAACTCATTCCGTCGGCATTTGTACCTTACTTGGATACGCTCATATCGCTTAGCAGCGATCCCCGCAGCCACAAGAAATTTATCCGATTATTCCGGTACATCACCAACTTTGAAATCTTCGACACCATTCCAAGAGCTGACCGTCGCGACGGCACGGTTTCGGCGAACGCGCTCCGGGAGCACAGTTCAGTGACAGAAGCGGTTCTGAAGGAACCGGGCGTCAAGGAAGCGGTCCTGAAGGACGCGGGCGCGAAGGAAACGGGCGTGAAGGAAACGGACCCCCGGAAGAAAGTCAACTACACGCCGGCTCGGGAGTCCAGCAAGCCCGAGGGGGGTAAATCTGAGCCGCAGTCCGTGCCGTCTACGCGGGATCCCGGAAGCCAAGACGAATGCGGAACGTTTAGTGAGGCCTTGCGCTCCAAGTGCACGTCTTGGTCGAAACGGAGTTCAGAGGCAGCCGGACCGTCCTGGAGAGTGTCTGTGAGTCCAGCCTGCGAGTTGGGAAGCCCGCCAGTCACGTCCTGTCGGCCGCCGGCCATGCCTCGTGACCCGCGGGAACCTGTGGCTGGACTCCGCGTGGAGTCCCGAGGAACTGGGTTTCGAGGGTCCGGATTTCGAGGGTCCGGATTTCGAGAATCTGGATTTCGAGAATCTGGATTTCGAGAATCTGGATTTCGAGAATCTGGATTTCGAGAATCTGGATTTCGAGGATCTGGATCCCGAGAGCGGCCAAAAGCCGGGACGAAATCTCCGGACGGCACTTCGTACTTTCATCGTTTTGCTCCGTCGGCGTTTCATCGAAGTCAGTTGCAGCCAGTGGCCGGTGCGCCTAGCGTGAGTTCGGAGGATTTGTTTGAGGAATTGCCTCGGGGTTGGGGTGACAGGAAGAAGAAGGCGAAACAGAGCGACGGGAGCAGCACGTTTTGGTTGTACCCTTTGACGCCTCGAGAGTGTGTGGGCAGACCATCGCCCCCTCCGTATTGGACTTTGAGTACGGAAGACCTGAAGGAAGTGTTGGAGTCGGTGTCTTGGTCTTTTCTTTTGTATTACCAGAATCGGCGGATCGCATGTGCTTCGTTGCAAGAGATTCTATTTGTATTGAACATTACGGAGCGTGGTCCGTGTTTATCTTTATTCGACCGGTCGCGTATGATGGATTTGGAGTTCCAGCTGTTACCCGAGCCACAGGTGCAGACTCGTTGGCGTCGCACATTGCAGTTGTTGGGTGCGGAGTATATGTCATTTTACGACCTGGTTCGGAACGTGAGTAAGATCGGCGGAGGTAACTTCAGCCAGGTATATCAGGGGACATATTGGCTGACTGGTGAAGAAGTAATAATTAAGGCTGTGGAGAAGAAGCGGTTGCAGCAAGCGAATGCTTTAACGGAGATCCTGGTTTTACGGTCAGTATCACATCCGTCGATAGTGTCTTTTCGGGGTGCCTTTCAAAATCAGAAAACGGTTATTCTGATAACGGAGTATTTGCGCGGTGGAGACCTGTTTGATTTTATTAAGAGAAATGGACGTATGAGCGAACGTGATTCGCGGGATGCGATGGAGAAGATATTGCAGGCATTGGTAACTTTGCATGCGCGCGGTATTGTGCACCGGGATTTGAAGACGGAGAATGTTATGTTACGCAACCCGTTTGATGGTACGAGTGTTTGTTTGATAGATTTTGGTCTATCTGCAACACTCGATAGTGAGCTCATGACCATGCGCTGCGGTAGTCCTGGTTACGTGGCGCCCGAAGTACTATTGGAAAAAGGAAAGTATAATTCAAAGTGTGATGTCTTCTCTGCCGGTGTCGTTCTCTATACCATGCTCACAGGCAAACCACCATTTCGAGGTGAAGATGCTAAGTGCATCCTAAAGAAAAATGCACGCGCGAAAATTGTATTCCCTGACTACCTTTCTGAAGAAGTCAAATCCCTCATTAGCTGGATGACACAACGCAGACCCGAACTCAGATGCTCTACCCAGGACGCATTACAACATCCTTTCTTCACCCATGAAAGCCTACCCCATGGCCCTTTCATCTCACACAATGGAGAAGACACTTGCCTTCAACTACCCAAGCATATTCTCTCCCAAGATCACAAATTCTACTTCGATCGAATGTCACCCAATACAACTGCCGTAATATAACTACACGCTTAACCACGTGGAGCATAACGGCCTTTAAGTCAACGGCGCCTTTAAGTCAACGGCGCCCGAGCACCTGCTTCTGTGTAACAACATTTTTTTGAACTGCCAACTCGCTTTTCCTGAATGCACTCTCTCAGCTCAGTGCCGATGTGCCCCTCTCAGCTCAGTGCCGAGGAAGTGCTGTAGATCTTCGCGGGTCTCTGGGTCGATGTAGACCATCTACTCCGGATAAGATATGGTCACAAGATGCCGGCAGTTCAGCTGCTTGGTCACCATCGTTTGGAGGGCACTTTTGAAGCTGATGCCGCCGTCTGTGAGTACTCTTTTCGAGACTACCCAATAGTTCTTTTGCTTACACAGCCGCCATCGGGTAGTGACCAAGAGGGATTGTATTTCGACCCATCCTCGAAATGTATTTAAACACAATGTCCAATCGGTGGGTTCTCGACCTGTCGCAATTACACGCACCTGTGTGTAGCTTACTGGGCACAAAGATGGCCTTAACGTGGCTGTACCCACCACCGTTGCGGATGCCCGGGTTTTTTTCCTTTGTGAAGGGCGCCATCGGCCACTTCCGCGTGTCCCAGCGCACCGTGTGATGTTTCCGCACAGTTGCGGGAGGCCACTGCCCGTACCCGGATGGACTGAGTTTCCTGCGATCGAGCTGATTAGAATTCAAGACCTGAAGTTCTTTCTACTACAACATGAGCAGGGAGTACGAGCTCGAACGTCTCGGACGGGAGCACCTCCGACGAGCGAGACCGGACAGTCGGCGTTTACTACGAAGACAGCACAGACCGAAGACGCCGACGCGCCGCGCTGTCACTAGCGGACCCACTCGACACACCAACCCTGCGTATCGCCCGTTTTGTCCCAGCCTAGACTTCCGCGATTTTTGTAAGGTGGCCTGACCATGAAGAACTCTACCTGTGTGCGGTCGGGGGGGAGAAGTAGGAGACTGGTGTTAGCCGTCATCAGTGTTCCGGAAGGAGCACCCGTCGGGACGGGGGGCCACGTCGCCCGAGGTGACGAAATCCTGACCGTGACTTCCTCGGAAAGCTCGGACGAAGAAAGGAAGCTCCTGGCGGCGGTGGAGAAGTGGAAGATCGTCATCGAGGACGCGAGGCCTAAGACCGGCCGCACTGATGTCGGAGACCACTGTGAACGGGAGCCACTGCCTGAACCAACCAGAGCCTTTTGGCGAAGGCCATGGTTTGTCGCGGGCGCGAGTGTTGCTGGCACTCTGACTCTAGCCGGGTTGCTTTATTTGCGACGAGCTGGAGGCCATTCTCACCACCATCCAGTGTCTTCTGTGTCCTACGACACCACACATGTGGCCCAGCCTGACCCCACGGTGTCTACGGTGTCCTCCTACGCCACAAGTGTGGTCCAGCCTGACCCCACGGTGTCTATGGCGTCCTCCCACGCCACAAGTGTGGTCCAGCCTGACACCCTGGTGCGTCTCCTGCCCACCATGAGGGGCCGGTGGCAAGACGAAATTTCTGAGCGGGAGTTGGCTACGCTGAAAACGCCGATGGACGCGTGTGAATCGGCACATCGCAAGGTGAAGGCGGGTAGCACGCGAGCAGGAATGAGGGAAGCAACGAAAAAAGGCTGGCAGCAGTTGGACTGGAGCGATTGTTCTGATTACGGCGGCAAGTTAGTCTGCACGGGCGGCTACAATACGGATGACGGGAACCTTCAGTGCCATTACTTTGCCACTCCGTGGGTATACGATCTTCCTACTGTCTGGGAGTTGATTGTTCGTTACCTGAAGCCTACTCAGTGCTCGTACCAGTGTAACGACGAAGACGAGCACGAAAAGCTGCTGACTGTTCGCCGTGGAGTCGAGATTGCGAGTTCGATTCCCGGCGTTGACTTGGACAGTGCCAGTGCACAGGAATTGTATACACTCGGAAAGGCTGTTCCGCTACATCTCGAGTACAAGGACACCGGTAATATGCGTGTAGCCTGCGACAGCTACAGTCCGCACCTGGTGACATGCGATGAGTCGACTTGTTGGAGTAATGTCCAAACTCCGTCGGGCAATGTCATGAACTGGGGCTATGTTACTGGCTTCCACGATGGCCCGCCCCTGCCGCTGTGCTATAGCGGGGCAATACGCGAAGGCTACGAGATAAATGACTGGTTATGCGAGTGTTATGAAGTGGACAGCGGCTGGGAAGAAAATGTTCAGCAAGCCTGGAATGAGATCGTCCATGCCAGGCAGATGTCTGACCATTAAACCGATCCAGACCCGTATGAATTACCCTCTGCAGAACGTTCGTGCAGACGACGGACGTACGTACGACTACGTTTTTGGTGCAAAGTCCTCAAACGGCCCCACTTTTCACAAGTAGACACGTGCTACACGAGTGTTCCCGACTAGCAACATGGTCGGGCGACGACTCGGGGATTTCCCATCTGTTGTGTCGAACTGGTCCGCTACTGACGTGGTGCTGCCTGCATCGTACGAGGAGCTCTCGGTGTCGATTCTGCTAACTTGCATTGCTACGGTTGCTGACTCCCTCCGTACTTAATAAAAAGCTTCGGCGAGATACAACAATTGAAAGCGGACCTTGCCCACTCACACACCAACACGCCCCTCGGCTTCTCAGTTGAAAGGTTTATCATTCGTAAGAACTCGTCTCAGTTGGCTTCCGTCCTCATGCCAATGTCAGTCATCTCCCGCCTTTCTCTGCCTGCTCCTCCAGTTCGCGCTGCCCTGAGACGCACTCTTTGAGTTACCCATCGTAGTAGTGGATCCGTGCTCGGCTTGAACCTTCTCACCCAGTCCTTGTGAGCCGTGACCGTCCACCCCGGCACGTCGCATCTTTCTGCCACTACCTGCGTTTTTCTCAACTCTGTTATCCTCATAGGTAACAACCACGGGCCCAGGCAGGTGTCTTCGGTCCCTCCCCTGGCGTCTGCCTGTGACCCTGGCTCCATCGAGACTACTACTGTTTCTCCTACTTATAGGTCGTCCGCGCCCGACTCTTCGAGCGGCCTATCTGTGAGCATGGCTTTTGCAATCTCTTACGCATCTGTGCGGCCAGGCTCTGTTTCCTCTGCTCCTCTGTCATTGTGCCGGTTACCTCTTGCAACCTCGCGAAGTACGGTGGTCTTCCGAATAAGGCCTCGTACCGCGTCACACCTGTGCTGACGTGCGGTGTCGTATTGTGCGTGCGACCGCCGCCGCCATCCTACCCAGGTCACGGTGTCCTTCTTGCCACAGTGCTTTGAACCCGCTTCTGAGCACCTTGTGGGAAGCTTCGTTGATGCCGTTCCCTTGCGGCCTATACGTTGCCGTCGTCAGATGGACGCAGCCCAACGCGCTAGCCACCATCTCATGGAACGCCCCCCTGAAGCTCGCGCCTGAGCAGG